ACAATGAAATTAATGTGCCACCAAGATTTATCTTCCTTTTCCATTTCTTACCACGGATATAACAAAAAAGAACAGTTTGGAACCCATGATTCCACTAGGGAAGTAAAATCCCATTTAATCAGCCTCGTGCGAGGCTGTTGCTCCCACCCTGCACAAGACTGTTGCTTCCAGCCTAGTGTGGGGCTGTTTGCTCTTTCACCTCCAGCCCCCCTCGGGGCTGCTGGCCCATGCGGGGCTGCGGTGGCTGTGGGCCTGGCGGTGCTGGAGCAGCCCTCTGTCCACGGTGGGCCACAGGCACGTGGCTGCTCCCAGGCACCAGTTAACCATTACCCAATAAGCATCACCCAGTAAGAGGGATGCTAACAGGGTAACCAATTAACCAGTTGACATCCCTAGTTTCCATGGTTAAACATAATCTTCTGTAGGTGCTGAAATACTAAAAGTGGTGATATAGATAAGAAGGGAACTAGAGAACTGGATATCTGAAACTTCTCCACCTATTATCAAGAAACCTGCATAAAATATGTAGGAGACTGATACCACAGTCAGTTAGAACAATGGCTTGCAAAAGGGAGTTTAGCTCCAGACATACCAGACCTGTTTTCTAAAGGGTAATGTAGAGAGTCTTACAGTTGGAGACAGGATCTTTTCCTCATGTGCTTGCATAAACTAATGTAAGGAATTTTGTGAGTACTGCTGTTACAACCTTCCCTGCAGTTCAGAATCTTGCCCATTTAAAGAGGATTGTGCGATTCCTAAGGTGAACAGAAAAGTTTGCTTTTGCCAGAGAAAACATTGGATTGTTCAGAATGTGATCCACAGAGAGAGGATACTGCAATGACAAAGAAAGGCCTCGGAGCAGCTAAAAGCAAAAGTTTCTCCTCAGAGGACCAGAGAATAAGGAGAATTATGACTGTAAGATATAGCACAATAAAAAACAGTCAGGTCCTTTTCGATAAGAAGCCATATGGGAGTATAACTAGGGACCTCTCCCATATACTTAAACATTTTAACTAGTTCATACATGAGTATTAGGGTTGCCAGATGGTTGAAACAAAAATACTGAACACCCCACCCCCCCAAAAAAAAACACTGGGAAAAAATTCTGTTGAAGGGGAAAAAAGGGGAGGGAGACCTAAGTTGAGCAAAAAAAAAATTTAAAATAAAACAGCATGTCCCCTTTAAGAGTGAGTGCAGGGATAGGAGCCCCGCGTAAATCCAAACTGCACTGTGTTTGGGTCTTAGTGCTCAACACACAAAACAAAACAAAAAAGTGGTCAATATAATGGTCTTATGTTGATATGCATTTTAGTAGTTAAATTCCTGGACTGTCGTTCATTAAAAGTGCCATCATATGGGTGGAAATTGGGTAAATATTGCATTTTATTAATATCAGCAGAACTGATTTAAATGGGGACTGCATTTTGTGTAGTCTTGCCTTAATCTTTGTATTCATGCATGTCAGTGTGAAAGAAGCTATTTGCCTATATTTGCATATATATTTGCATGTATATGAAACCCCACTTTAGTTGCAGTCCTTGGCATGTGCTGTGAGTATCATTGTGGCCCCTGGGGCTTCTAAAATTGAGTAGCCCTGTTCTATGCTATGCTTCAGAGACACAGAATTCAGGAGGAACTAAAGCAGCTTTCATCCATTTTGCACCCTCCTGCTCCAGAGCTGTTCCTTAGCATCATATAGGAAATCGGCAGGGGAATGGGGAGGGGAGCTGTCTAAGTTATTCCTTCAGGGGGTAGCCGAATTAGTCTATACAGGATAATCTTAAAAAAATAACAAAAAGTCTGGTAGCACTTTAAAGACTAACAAAACATGTAGATGGTATCATAAGTTATTCCTGTGAGCCACAGCACTTCCCAAAGTTTCCACAGTTGACAGCTCCGCTCCCCAAAACATTTCTCCTGACCCATCCGTCCTCCTTCCCCGGCTCACTCCTTACATCGGGGTTTGCAGCTGGTTCCTCAGAAGGCAGCCTTCCATGTTGACTTCATTGGGTAATCTTCATCCAGTTGCAATTGGCGCTGTTACAGCCCCTTTTGGTCACTGTGGCCTGTTTACCTGGTATCAAAGAGCTGGAGTGGGAGTGAGGCTTTCACACTCGATTATTATGTGTTTAGTTGTTATCATTCATCTTCCTAATTTGACTGTAAATTTGCATGGATGCTTAAAATTATGGAATCTTTAAAATGAAAAGAGTATACAGGTCTACTGAACTTTAAAAGACAAATTACTCTTTACTTCTCCCCCCCCTTCTCAACAAGAATAATTTCTGTCTTGTTCACTAACACCCCCGGAATGCTTTTCGTACCATTTTTGAAAGCTGGCATGTGTTTTTATTTCTGACTATGTAGAACTAAACAGCTTTTTTCTGAAAACATGCCATAAAACAGAATAGTTTGTGTGGCTCATCATGACATAGTGCAATCAATGGATTGTGTGGTGTGTAGGAGGAAGCACACACTTCCATAACTTCATCAGAGTGAGAGTAACTATTGCTCATGATGAGTGATCCCAAGTTTTCTCTCTGAACCTTCAGCCTTTGAGTAAAGCTATTCTGGTATGATTTCAGTTTCATGTATCTTCATGAGGATTTAGATTAGTTTCTATGAGCTAGATCATAAAATGCTATAAATCCACTTAACTCAACTGAAGTCTATGTATGTGTCTTGTGCACATGCTTTTTTTAAGGAGAGAACATTTATTCTTGTGGGGGAGATGCTGCTTTCATCCACAGAAACTCCTGTGTGTGATTTTAGAATAATGCCGGAGGGTAATTTAAAAAAAAAAAGTTTCAAACCACTGCTTGCCCAGTTCCAACAACTCTACAAAATAAAAACATACACACATTGAAAATGAGTTGCATCTACAGCATCTGATCACATACACTTTGCATAGTCTTTTTCTATATAATCAAGTCTGCCAAAAGCACTTTCTTTAGTGTTTTCATAAAAAAACAAAATCAGTGTGAGTTATTTTTCTATTTTATTAGCACAGTTTGCTTTTTTAAGTAAAAGGATCAGAGTTGTCCAGAGGAGTTGAGATTACTCTAACATCAGCAGTTTTTGTGTTTGCTTTCCTTTCCTTACACTTTTTGGCACCATCGTTAATTTCTAATCAAGTAAATGTGTTTGAAAGCATGCTTCAAGGGGAAATCTTACATTTTTATACAAGATATATTAAATGTATTTAAATCCTCTTTAAGTATAATACTGTTATTACTACTTCCTTGTAATAGTTTTGTAACTAGTGCAAATGAATAGTAGTTTGCAGAGATATGTTATGGATTAATCTTTGGTTGAAAACAGGGAGACAGAGGAAAGGCTAGCATGAGTGTCTTTCACCACAGGGCCACTGGTTCCAGTGCACCAAAAGCGAGTGGCAGCAAAATCCTGTGGCCTTATGGTGGCTGTTCTTTAGCTTTTGTGAAATTTATTGTTGTTCTCAGCCAAGTTCCTAATGGAGGACATCCATTGGCAGTCTCAATAGAAGATACAGGTTGACCAGGACAAGTCACATGAGTGGAACAGCATAGGGGTGCTTAAATCTCACCACCCCCTAATTATCTATAGAAAGAGTTCAGCATCTCGAGCTATTAATCCAGTTTTTTATAGGCTTGATCCAAAGCCCATTGAAGTCTGTGGAAATTTATGACTTCTAAAAACTGCCATTGACTTCAGTGGGATTTGGATTGAGCCCTTCATGAGCAATAAATTCACGTAGGAAATATTTTTTTCTTTATTTAAAAATAAAACAGTTTCAATGCCAATAATTAGAACCAAGTAGCCCCATCTCATTGTACAAACTCTGCCTGGTGGTTCTAAAGGCTCACACAGAAAAGCAGGGGCACAGAGCAAGGCCTGTACTTTTAATCTCAGATGGCTCAGCTCAATAATAATTAGCCTTTCATCCGCTTCTGTGGGCCTCCTGCTCTGCACAGCTGCTGCAGCTAACCTTGGTTCCTTAGAGAAAATTATCCAGCAAGATAATTTGATTTCCCAGCAAGAGCCTTCCTTTCTCACTTACTCTTCCATAGCTTCATCACCGGGATGCACAGCTGTTGAAAAACCTCAGTTCAACCCACTGTTGAGTTGAATAGCTCACCTTTGCAAGAGCACCATCAATATAGATTTTTTATCAGAGTTTTCTCTAGTGAGATCCCTGTTGCGGGGAAGGGGGCATAGGAGAAGAGAGAGAAAGAGAAAGTTTGTGCACAGTTCTTTTAGGAAAATATTTGGATAATTAAGGAAGTGACATTTCTAAGTTATTCCTTAGCATCTCCAGGCTGCTATTTCAGGTATTGGGGAAAAGATGGAGTGGGGCGGGCCTTAGGGTGGAGCAGAGGTTGAGCACCACCTGGGAACTGGAGAAGATGGCACCTCTGAACCCACTTAAGTTGGACTAGGAGTTGGCCCAGACATAGGACCTGGCTGCCATGCATTTATACCAGCAGGGATTTCCCCTCCAGCAAGGGTCTGTTTGGCATTTTGTGACTTGAGCAGTTTCAAGGGGTCATAATGCCATTGAAAATCTGACCCAAGGAACACAAGCTTTACTCACAAGTTTGTGTCTGACAAAAAGATCACTCCAAGAAAAGCAGGAATTTGCATATTGAAACAGTTAGCACAGATAGACTTTTTAGAAGTTTTTCTTATGTTTTTTTTTAAAAAACAGATTAAATTAGACTCTTCAGCCCTAAGTTCTGCTTCCCAGTTAACTTTTGACATGTGAATCCTGCTCTTTAAGACCCTGATTCCTCTAGGACTTGCACATTCCTAGCTAGAATTCTAACAAGCCTCTCTTACACCAGCACTTGGATGGATTCAGTATCTTGGGTTTTTTCAGTAACAGAAGTTGGCATGAATAAGAAAGAGTGGTGCCAATGCTAATTATGAAACAGCTATTTTAATACATTATTCTTCTGCCATGTCGTCGTGTTACTCTCTCAAATTCTGACCCTGAATGATGTTTCTCTTTGGTTTTGTAGGTAATGCAAATGGACAAGAAATTGAACTTCATTACAGATATGCTGCAACACCTGGTTTCAAATCAGCAGGATGGCCAAAGCAGTAATGGATCATCTCAGAGAACCAACACAGTTAACTCAGATTTCTTCCTCCCGACTTACGAACAACTGACAGTTCCAAGAAGAATCCAAGATGACATATCCTGATGTGGTAGAAATACAGGGGACTGTTTTTTCCCTTTTTAAATGGACATGAAAGGTGTGAATCTGGAAATCTCGGCCATATGGGAGTACACATCACTACTGTACCAATGTGTCTAGCCTTTGAAACACTCCTTCCAAAGACAGTCACTCATATCAGATGAAGATTTATCAAGCTAACACGCCTCAAGGCCTCTGTGCTGTTGTTTTAACACAGTGCATTCTTAAGTTCCATTTTTATTTTGTTCAAGAACACCTAAGTGCGATTCATCATAGCACTGAAAGACCAAAACAATGTAGAAGACAAACAAAATTACAAGGAATTTATGGCTCTTTTTAAAGAAAAATAATAATACTTGAACTTAGATAGCAATGTGTGCATTCTGTTTATGAATCTACTGAGAGCAATTTAGTTTTACTAACTAGATTTTAAAGCAAAATGGGGTAACTTATGTTGATTTTATTGTATAAACATACCACTAACTTTCTAGAGAATGACAAACCGCACAGTGAATTATTATTTTTTTTCTGTTACATAAACACGTACCTGATAATGACTAGATTTGCTTTTTCAATCTTTTTTTTTTCTTCAGGGAAGAAATAGTGGTTAATCGGAAACAATACCATTCATAGGGGAAAGTGCTATAGATTTTTTTTAAGATATGAAGTTTTCATGGGAGAAGGATAAAATATTGCAATGAAAAAAATAACTTTCTAGAAAACGGCTGCCAAAGAGTTTATATTTAAATGTTAGTACAACTATTTGAATGTGCGTGTCCAGAAAGAGATTTTAAAAATGAATGTTCACTGCTTTTATATTCTTTCTATATCTAATTTTTGTAGCATTTTCTTCCAAAAATGTTACAGGTAAATATATACAGAAGTCTAAAGAAGCTGGATATTGCTGGTCAAGTGCTTGAATCCACCATCAGAATGGAGGCCCTAACTCAGAAAGGCATTTCTAGTTGTAGAGCATGGAAGCACATACATTAAATCCTTAAAAGTTATGCATGTTTTTCCTGACTAGCAATAGACTTAATCATGTGCTCTTCTGAATCAGGGACTCAGAATACTCAGCTCCCCCTTGGAGACACTCAACATCTCAAAAGCTTAAGCCCTAATGTAGGGAACCAAGGCCATTAAAATCAGAGACTCTCATTGACTTGATCATTCAACCAGGCTCCAAAACCAACCTGTCATGCTCATACAAGTAGTTCCCACTGAAGTCAGCGGGCTAAATTCTGCCCTCGTGTATTGCAGTTTAAATCTGGAGTAACTCCACTGAAGTTAATGGAGTTTCTTCACACTTCGTTTTGTATTAACAAGAGCAGAATTTGGCCCAGTGTGACTACTCACATGACTGACAAAAGCAGGATGTGAACTTAGGTGACATAGAGTGAAATTCACCTAATAGAGAAAGCCAGAAAAAAAGCCTGTTCACTTTAAGGGCTTCAGTGGGATTTCAGTGGTGCACAAGTCTTGTGTTGGCTGTCTGCACATGGATGAAGTTCACCCTTACTGAAACTGAGATTACAAAACAAATAAGCCATATTAACAATTAGGTTAATTGCTGATAAATGAAAAGGAGGGTAGATGAGTTAGGTCACAAACTCTTCTATTGTTTTAGCAATAGATATAAAAATCCAAGATCTGAGTACTTAGTCCTGTGCATTTGAAAGGAATTGGCCACTTAATATTAAGCCATTTAATAGTATATTGAAGTTAACTTCACCACACTTAAACATATGAGTAATCTGAAATACTTGTGCATGTCAATGGAACTGAGTTCTTAGGGAGTCTTTTTCCTATTATAGGTAATATTTCTGGACTTTGTTTTAAACATTTCATTTTCTAACATTTTCTCTCTGTTGGGTAAAGAGCAAACCATAGTGTATCTCCTCATATCAATTGTTAACATTATTCGGTCTTGCTGCTGTACAATAGATGATTTTAAGGATGTAGATATTTCCAGATTTAAACAGGGATTATTTCTGGGCATTATGTTTTATAGAAATCAAAAATAATTGTGATGATTTTGAATTTGTTTTTTAATGAGGCTCACTATGTAATTTCAGATTATTAATCTGACTGTTAATTTCCTAATAAAATACAAGACAGGGATACTGTGCCTTTGATTTGTTCTAAAATTTACAGACTTAGTACATTTCAGAAAGACTAATATTTTTGAGTCCATAAGCATAGTGAGTGGGTACCTTATTTGAAACACAAGGTCTCAGTAAGAGTGATCAACCTCCATCTTCCTGTTCTGCCCGTATCTTAAGTAGAAAGCTGTGAAAACAGGATTTAATTTTTTGAGAAGATCCAAGCAATGAGGCAGCTCTTTCTAAAAGTAACCAGGTTTGTGTTCACACATATTTCCAGAGACCCGGGGCAGCTGTCAAGAAAGTTCTGTTGCTAGCAGTTAATCCTTCTGAGATCATATCTTCCTTTTCTTTCTGGCAGGCAAACCTCAGTATGAATAGCATGGAACACAATACGTTTCAGGCCACAGGATCCAAAAGCAAGCAGTTTACGCATTGATGTATACATTTCAGAAACCACCTTCACCAAAATCCTGCTTTAGAGTCTGTTCCCAAAAGATTTCAAATCTCATTGTGGTTATTTCTCAGGTCTACACCTAACTATTCCAGATCTGGATCCAGAATTATACTTTCAGAAATAGTTATTATTTTCAGAAATATAGGACCAGCTCTGAAATCAGTGGTAGGCAATGTGAGGCCTATGGGTCGCATGTGGCCCATCAGGGTTCTACGTGTGGCCCTTGAAACATTTTGTTTACCGTTGCCCATGACAGGGTTGCCAGATCCCACTGGTTTCTGTTTGCATAGATTTTTTCTCGCCAGTATTATTAAAGTGCACATAAAGCAAGGGCACATGAAGACATGAAGTGAGCTATGTGCTGAATGCACATTACATTTGCTGTGAGAGCCGTGCTCTCCCTCTGCGACCAAAGTGCTGCTATGGTTCTTTCGGCACACCTTGCAAATTCTAGGCACGCAAATGCAGTCTACCCTACCTTGGGAGACTCTTTTCTGCTGGTATTACTAAAGGGCACATAAAGTGAGGTACGTGCTGATTGCACATAACATTGACTGTGAGAGCCATGTGCTCCTTCTGCACCCAGTCAAAGCTCTGCTATGGCCCATCCTGTGAATTATAGGTACACAAGCGCGGTCAGCAAAACTGCCCTATCCTGGGAGACCGTCTTGGTTATAACAATCTTGTGGCCCACTGAAATGGAGGGCCATGCATGCAGCCCACTCACTTAGCCTAGGTTGCCCATCACTATCCTAAATCTCTTCTGACTTAACTCTTCATTCTGCAGCACAGAATGTCCTTCCAGAGGAATCCTGATATCTTCGCCAATGGAAGCATGGATTCAAATAACCACTGAGATCAGAGTCCTAGTTATTCTTGAAATATTGCTCTGCCAGTGTAAATAGGCCTTAAAGTGGAGTTAAAGAATTTCCACTATATTGCCAGAGGCAGGTAAAGAGAATTACTGTGTAAGAGACTCATGTCCAATTTCTCCTCCGTCTTCCCCATATCTGTGTTGTAGTAGTAGTAGTAGTACAGTAAAACCTATGTTATCCGGCACGCTCGGGGATTAGGGCATTTCGGTTATCTAAAAATTCCGGTTATCTATGGGTCCCATCAACCTAGGAAAAACCAATGGACAATAATAGTAAAACTCAAGTTTTTAATATTAGTCGTTTTGTAGTGTGAGGCAATTGGTCTCACATTTCTATTTTGAGTTAAAGATGATTAGTACTTCTTAAATAAAAATCTCTTAAGCCAATCATGGTAAACCAAGGCAGGCTTGTGCGCCTGAAAATGTGACAGTATTGTGGCTGGGGGCAATGCCTGTTAACAAAGTTTTCTGGTTAACAGAGTGCCAGATAACAAAGGTTTCACTGTATTATTCTTTCAGAAGAATCACCCAAGAAAGAAGGAATCAGATTTTGCTGTCAGTTATGCCAGTGTAAATTTAGAGCAGCTCCTTTTCCATGGAGTTACTCTGGATTTACCCTGCTGTAAGGGACAGGAAAGTGTAGCCTGACAGTTTGGGATAATGGGGACCTCTTTTTTAATTAAGCCATCTATCTTGGTTCTTGGGCCAAAAATAAAAGATTCAAAAGCCAAAACTCATTATTGAGTTTTGTTATAGGCCACGTATTTTAGAGGATTGTCTTCATGTCGGAAGGAAATAGCCGAAGCAGATGAACTCCTGTAAAACAATTCATTGATTAGTAGCCTTACTAATAATAAGGAAGATTACAGGCAGTACTATAATCACATATCTGCACAGAATCATTGAGCCATCGGAACTGTTATTATTAATGATTTGATAACTTAAAGTGACTTCTTTTTGGCATAGTTCTTACATTTTCTAATTAAGTCCCAAGATCAGTATTACAAACTGTACTAGATACTCAAAATACACTAACATTGCTTAGAATTTGTACAGAACCTTATGCTTTTTCAAAGTCCAGGATGAGTTTCCTCCTCGGGAATGGGCCACATTCTGATCAGTCAGAGCCCCCTTTTGTTAAGATGGTCAAAATTATGACAAGTTGTTCCTGAAAAGAGCCTGTTTACAGGGTTGTCATCTGAAATATAGGCACTATAGTTCTTCCTGGAGTAGAGAAGACCCACCCATTAGTCTTCATTCAGAGGTACAGTAAATAGAATTTTTATACCTCTTGGCCAGCTGTACAGATTCTGGATGGAAACCTCTTTTTTACTTGCCATGCATGTCTTAATCTAGCTGCGGTCTGGATTAAGGAAGTGAGCATGCTGGCAGCAGAAATGCAGTCACCAAAAGAGTGCTTTCACCAGCAGGTGGTAGGGGATGTTGGAGAAAGCAAGTGAAAGCTAGACATGGGCTTCAGTTAATTGGCCACAATTTTCTGGAATGCTGTGTCCATTACCAAGACCTCTGCCTCCAGTCTCCAGCTGAAACTGAGTAGTGAAGCAAGAATGTGCATGTATGGAAATTCCTATCCTACCCACATTGAGTCGACATATTCGGGGGTGGGGGAGAAAGAACTACTTCATCAAAATACAAATGTCATATCTCAGAGGGCTACCTCGCTATTTCATTTACAGGTTTTTGCGGGGGAGTAAAAATGAGAATTTTACCCTGGTTTTTTTAGGTTGTGTAAGAATTCAACACCTCAGCTCTGGCTCTTCCCCAGCCTGTGCCTTTTGAGAGCACCTCTTCATGTCCAGCTGGCTACAGTTTAGAAATTATTCCAGTTGAGATTTCCAGCATGATCTTCCCTATCAGACATGACTGTTGTTGGATGTGTCTTCTTTGATTCTGAGCAAATAGTGATAGATTTTAAAAGGATCGTGAATATTAGTCGAAAAAACACACCTATCTACCCTGACTGAATCTACTCTGATCTTGGCTCCTGCTTTGTAAACTCCACTTTAATATCTATCTATCTATCTATCTATCTATCTATCTATCTAATGCAGAGTCTGAATGAACTCTCACCTATCTGCCTAGGTATCTAGCAGACAGGAACTGCATAGATTTACGTGATCATTCTTGGCTGGGTTACAAATCACTTTAATACTGAATGCTGGGATAGTGCAATGTTATTATCAATGTCTTCATTGTGTAAGTAAAGGGGAACACAGCTCTGCTTAATCTGTCCCAAATGAGGAGGGCACACTCAGCTGAAAGGGCCTTGTTAGGCCAGGGGCTCAAATGCCAGAGCCCTGGAAAATAGAGAAGTGTGGGGATAAGTATCCCAGCAAGGAGGAGTGACCTCTTCCTGAGAGTCCCTGGTCTGGTTTAACCTGTCTTCTCCACTATTCAAAGGCAGAGATAAAAGACTCCATTAGGAGCTTTTAGTTATTTTAAAGGCTCAAAAGAGCTGACAGTCACTAGTCACTGGAACAAAAAACAGGACTATGTAGCACTTTAAAGACTAACAAGATGGTTAAAGTGCTACATAGTCCTGTTTTTTGTTTCAGCTACACCAGACTAACACGGCTACTTTTCTATCACTAGTGCTGGAACTGCATCTCTGCCCAGCCACAGAGCTGAAATTCACTAAGAGTTGGGTGGAATCTCAAGAGACTGACATGCAGAGGTCACACCAGAGAGGCAGAGTGCAGAAGGTAACTGGTGAGAGGAGCAGTGGCTGGCAGGAGAGCCATTGGAGGGGGACCCCACTTATTGGGGTGGCCAGCCAGAGAAAGTGCTCAAATGGTGGAGTAAGCCTTCTTCTCCAGGAGGAAGATGAACTCACACAGATGCACTTCTGAAACCTGGGTCCTCACTGACCAAGGTCAACCACTGTGAGTGGAGAATGGCGAAGGAGTAGAGAGGCACACAGAAAAAGAACTTTTAGTTGTAGGACTCAAGAAACATGAGGCAGAAGACTCTGTTCCACACACTCTGGGATATGTGTCCTGCTCATAGTATTATGATTATGAATCCTACTCTTGGCATTTTCCCTAATTAATGTCAGATGTCTTTCCTTCTCTCATTAAAAGTATTTTCTACACTCAGGCTCTGTTTATGAGTGGGGAAATATTGCCTCAGACATGCCCGGTGGGATGGATAATTGTTCCAGGGTACTAGGTGGGGACTCAAGCCCGTTCTGCATTTTTGTTGTTGTAAAGGAACCTCTAGATATGGTATCCAGCCCTCGTTGCAGCTGGATCAACTTGACAGAAGGGTTACATATGTAATGTATGCTACCTAAAGGAGACTTTTGTTACAAGAAAAAGCAGTTTTAGATCTGTAATACTTTTCTCTTATACTTCGGGCTGCCAAGGCATGTCATATTCCTCAGCACTTAATTTGTTGATATAATCTTAGATATGCTATAGGAAAATGCACTTTTTGCAGATCCAAGTACAAGGAAGTAGCACCCAATATCATTTACAGCATGGTTTGATCCCTCATATACTGCAAACCCTGATTCAAAAATTCATAAAGCTTAAGGCCAGAAGGCCTTATCAGCTAGTCTGCTCTCTTGTATATCACAGGCCAATACATTTCACTCAGTTACCCCTGCATTAAGCCCAATAGCATATTTGACTAAAGGTTGTCTTCAGAAAGGAATTCTTAA